AATGTTTTATCACAATAATAATTATTTGTGGTATTCGCCCTTTCCAAGAGTGGACAAAAAATTATTATTATTGGACAAATACTGATTAATTGTGGACAATCGAATCCCGTATGTAATTTGAAAAAAAACGCACTTAGGGGTGCTGACGTAAAAAAAATTTTTTTTTTTTTTTTAATTTTTTCCAAGAGTGGACAAAAGATTATTATTCTTGGACAAATATGGACATATTGTGGACAATCTAATGCCATATAGATTTTGTCAAAATTCGCATTTAGGGGTGCCAACTTCACGCAGCTATGTTTGTATCACAGTATCATTTATTTCAAACTATAATGATTTTTCTAATCCTTCTAATCATTATAATATTCCATGTCTTAATTAATATATTTAAGTTTAATAATTAGATATTTAGTTTACTATATGTATATCGTCCCATTTGCTCCAGCTGCACTTATAAAGTATATTCCTTGAGTTTTTAAATTACATAGTACACATAAATGTATATATTTATAAATGTAGTTTATAGGATTTATATTTGTAAGTCAATACATTTATCTCTTATTTTTACGAAATAGAATTTATTTTTGAATCCCTGGGTATAGTGGTTGAATGGATGGGTGTGCGAATAGTTTAAGATGTTTAAACTGTATTATGTAATTAAGGCAATTGTGCGTATAACGCGTTACCAATTTGTGATCTTGTCTTAATGATAACGTTTAAAGAAATACAAAAAAAAAAAGATATGTACTTGTGTTAAGCTACGTCAAGTGCTGTAGTAGTTTGAAACGATCTGAATTTGGAAATTTGCATATGTCAAAAGTATGTTTTTTGTAAATTTATACAGAGAGTCATATATATATATATACATATATAAAGCATAACATCGTAGCTTTGGGAGAACGGTGTAAAGGCGTTTGTCTTATAGAAAGAGGGGTTGAAAATGTGACGCGATATGGTGTGTTGTGACAAACGCATGGTGGTTATGGTATTTTGTATAAATTCAGAATACTAATCCTATTGTGTCGCGATGACGGTGGTACTTTGATAAACTTTGGAGTACTATCGTGACATCGTCGATTGTCGCAAAATTCCTTCTGGTATTTGGAGGCACGCGAAATATTTGTGGTTATTAATTGTAATAAGTGCAAGATACTTGTAGTATTTCCGACGGGCGCAAAATAGAGGATACGGCATATTGTATCTGGGAGCAAATCTCCGTTTTTCGTGTTAGCTAACGAAGGCAATGACGTTCGATGGATTTAACGAAACTCAGTTCTCTCTGCATCAATTAGATGAAGTTACATTGTATATTTTTGCTCTTAGATATCTACTCGTGCCTACGTGTACATCAAGCTCCTTCACCCCGATATCTACCCAACATGAACACGAGCGAACTGAAAGAGTGCGCGTGTTTTAGCATGGCGACTGTCTCTGTAGAACTTTGGTCTAATGAGAAAATAACGCGATCTGGATTTATAAACTAATATTATTAATCTGATTGTGGCGTCAACCGCCAACACTCGTCGCAACAATTTTTCGAGGTTTACGTTACGTTGACATATATAGGCAATACTTGAACAAATAAAGACCTACTGTCATATTTTTTACAGTTAAGACTCTTACACGTTGCATAAAGATTTCTGTTTCGATTTCGTAATGCGATAGCAAAATCTTTATGTTTCCATTGTAGAGATTCGCGAAGAAACATTAAAATTGTGTGAGGCAACCATTGTAGAGAATAGGAACATGAATCAACCCAGTGACATCTTCGTGACAATTGTGACATTTTCCACCAATATATATATATATTATATATATTCTTCTGTCGACACTCATGTGTAATCACAGCCGTTAGTAGACAGTAATTTCATCGACGAAAATTGTTTATAGTTAATAATACAAAAGCAATCACGATACTCTTATGTGAACACCGTTTGCAAGATGATCAGTAGTGTATGGATACTAGATGAGCGGTGTCTAGTATTCAGAAAGAACTGACGTGCCTTTCCAATTCAGGGGTTGACGACCTCCGCAACATGTGTATGTACATTCGATTCCGTCTCAACAAGAAAGGTTTGCGCCCCATATACTGTCTTTAGCTGCAAACTCCGTCATACACTTATGTATAATATCTTGTTTCATAATACATGTCGCTCGAATCAATCTTAATGCTTGTTTCCATTTTCTGCATTTTTTTTTCTCTCTTGCCACGAAAAAAAAGCAAACACATCGAATATTCTGAACTCAGTAATATGCTTTATTTTTAGATTTGTCTTTGCCACTAATAAGATTTCTATTAAATGATACACAATATTCCGCACAAATAACAGAATAAGTCTGGTTTTGCAGAATTAGCTCTGTGCTGCTTGTTTGAAATTTGCTTGTTCATTTATTATTAATTTGAATTATCGTTTCATGTTCCATATCATAGTACCATGATTTCTTTTTCAAGTAATCGCAAATAATATGTATGTCTTTTCTCTGAATCTCTTAAAGGTGCATAAATCTATTCTATTATCATCTTTCTATGTTCAATCTCTTACAACTTGTAATCGCAAAGAAAGGTAGGAAAATCTATAAATCATTTGATTCAACATAGATATATTCGATTTAATATATAACATATGTATTACAGATGTGAATGAAAAGATGTAAGTATTTAAGTCCTACGATGTAGGTATGCAACACGATATATGTGGTCCCTTTATTAACTATAGGATTATGGATCTCTCTTATCTTTTAACGCTAAAATAAAAAATAACACACATACACACACACGCACATATGTACGTATATATACTGTGCCAGTGTAATCACAGTCCGTGGTTGTTTTATACTCGACCTTCACTTATTTAACATCTTCGAAAAATTGAGCAAACTTACCCTCTATTATTCTATTACAAAACGAAAAACTGTGATAGGCTTCCTAATCATCATACTTACGATCGGTAGACAATGAATTACTCGCATCGACATCCGAAACACTCCGGTCCCGATTATCGCTCCGATTTCATTATTAAGTGAAAGTGTAAACCAATGAAAAAAATAATCACCGGTATATATATGTGAGAATTATGGCGATTACACAGTGAACAACATATTTAGAATGACGTGTTAGTAGAAAAATCAAAATAAACTCGTTTATTCAAAATCAGATATATTGTACTATGTATTGCATTCGTTCAAGCCGAAAATCCTAAAAAATACGTTTAACACTTACAATTCAATTGAAATAACAAAATTTACGCGTTCGTAACGCGTGTACATCTCCAATACGTCGTATCCATACAAAACTGACATTAGACTTCAATCTTTCTTTACTGGCAGTATTTACTCCACATCATCCTTTAAGCAGTTTAATAGAATTCCGGACTTGCTGAGAAACGCATATTTAAATAACACAACATATATGCTTCAAATATACAATACGTACGATTTTATTTAAGATATTAAATTATGCAAGTTTGTAAGAAAGAGTAATATAAACATGATGAAAAATTAATCGCAATGATATAATGACGTAAGGATAATAATTAATTATAAATATAATTAATTACAAATTAATAATAAGGACGATGACGATGACAATGATAGTGATGATGTGATAATGATAATAAAATAATAATACTTATAACAGGTAACAATGCAGTCCTAGTTTTGCATGAAATTTTCTTTAATAACAATTTGGTTAATCTAGATGACTGCTTAAAAGTTGTCATAGAGTATAAGTTCATAAATAATTTCATCAGTCACAGAATGGCAACTTGGACTTATTCCTGTCGCAGATTTTTAATCGACGATTTGGCACATAAAGTAAGCGCGTGGCGCTTCATTCTTTTCGTGATTTTTCAGGATGTAATCAATAAAGTGCCATTCCAATATAGTCGCACATTTATACGCATTTATAAACACACTTGTATAGCAAGAATGGCGGAGGAAATTCAAGACAAGCAGATTTGTCATTCCGTTTTGATGATAATTTGAGGGACAGTACGCATTTCTCTTATAAATATATTCAACGATTAGAACACGCAGTTATGTCCGAAAAGTAAAGTTTAGTTGTCCTCGTGTTCTATTCCAAAGACAAGAGGGGGAAAAAAAAAAGAGATTCGACTGACAGGCGATAACCAAGTATTACGTTCGCGTTTTGGTATACAATCCGTGTTTTTCTCGTCCTATTTTATATTGATCCGTGTCTTGAACGAGCGAACGACGCTGAGGATCGCGGTGTGCGGTGGACTGAGAAGAACAAGACTGGGTCAGTTGGTGTTCTGTTTGTTGGAGCGCAGGCGAGCCAAACCTGAGCGCTCGCCCTCTTCCTCGTCGGACGTGCAGGGTACCACGCCGCGCGACGACGTCGCCTGCATTAATTCCTGGTCCGGGCCATTCCGGTGTTCGTACAATAGAATGTTTAACGTTTCCTCGTATATTCGAGCCTCGGGAAATTCAACCTGAAGAAAAGTAAAAGATTTTTTTTATTAATATAATTCTAAAATCATCGTCATTGATCGTCATTTGGCGTTACCTTTGTATGCTTCCTATCGGTCGTGTAGACGATCGAATGGCAGCAGACTTCAGCCACCTTACGACCGTGCCCATAAAATGTCCAACAGCAGATCTCGCTTGAGCCGATAACATCTTTGATGAATAATACCCTGCCACTGAATCTAAGTGACATTTTGTCGAATAATTCTATGTTCTTTAATAGATTGTCGTCTGATGTACTGCAAAGATTAAAATATATAAGATTTAGGATCTACTTCTTTGATGATGATATGATAATAATACAGCTACAATTATTTATATTGTGACATTTCGTTCGTCATTTTTTTTCGTAAATTTAGAATATTAGTTCAGGATATAAATTACATATGAGAGATACACACAATACGTGCTTTTTATCTCTTGTTACTGTTATCAGTCTCTTTAAATTACGAACGTATTAATAGCTTTTTGAAACGTTTAGATCGCAATTTATAAAGAAATTGTGAGATATCAAAATATTTGCAGCTATCAAGCAGCGTTTGGTATTACCTTGTGTAAGAATATTTATTGTTATGCCTATTAATGAGCAGCTTGACCACAGGCTTAGTAGTGTTACTTATGAGTAACTGTTCCTCCTTCTGGGAGGTTATGAGAGGGACTCGGCAGATCGGCTCTGCCTCGCGCTCCTTTCGCAGAAGTGCCTGCTCGCAGGACTCCGCCAGCTCGCTGATGCAGTAATACTTCGCCTCCGCGAGCAGCTCCGCCATCTCCTTCGTATTTTCCGGCAGCGGAACCGAGCCGTCTCGCAAAAAGTTCAAGATCGTTCCGAAATGCTTGCCGCAACGATCGATCAATATCCAGCCTGCGGACAGACACCGCGGATCAGCGTCGAACGTACAAACGGAGTATCGACAAGCTCGAACGATCGATTGATTTTCTCCGGAAATAACGCAAAAAAAATAATCCTTTTTTCTTTAAATTAATCAAACAAATCCGTGCGTTTTGTCGTCTACCATGAGTCAAAAGCGACGAGGTCTAACGATCGGAACCCCGCAAAAGCTGATCGATATTTGAAGAGCGTCGATCGATTTCGAGTTACCACAAGTCGGAAATCGTAACGTCCGCGGAGAGATGCAAAGAGGAAAGCCTCTCACCTTCGGAGTCGGTGAGCACTTCCATGCGACCGCTGAACATCGCGCGCAGCATGGTGTCGTGCTTCTGCAGGGTGCCTATGGTGGTGTAATGTAACGAGCCCCCGATGTTCAGTTTGACATACTCCGACGGGTACTTGATCACCGTCTTGTGTTCGCCCGACATAACGAGAAAAACCTCTGGGGCGACTTCCGGACCTGGCGATGCCGAGGCGAATACTGACGTCTGACTGACGACGCGCGACGCGCGACGCTCGCGAAACGGGGCGAGGACGCGATATCGATCCCCTCGACGTGTGTGTGTGTGTGTGTGTGTGTGTGTCGGGACTGTGTCGGGTCGAACGTGAACGTTGCGAATCGACGGATCCGCGTTTGCGTCGTGAGGCGACGGTGACGGCGTGGTCGCGTCGACGGGGTGCCGCTCCGCTTACCACGTCCCAGTGAGATGTACACACATACTGGAGTGAGCCTGAAGAAAACGCGTGGTGGGGGGTAGCCGCTTGTGCGAGAGTGACAGCCATGCGGCTTAGGGACGTCTGCCTCACTTCAATGACATGTCATTGAAGTGAGGCAGACGTCCCTAAGCCGCATGGCTGTCACTCTCGCACTACTGTTGCACAGTTCGGCCATCCCCCCCCGCGCCTCTCCAAGGCCTCACTCAAGTATGTTATATATCTCACTGTCACATCCGCTGTCAAAATCGCGCGATACATTAACGTATCTCCGTCGTGCTCCATATTCCGCTCATTCATCATCGGCGATGCGGCGAATTTCTCGACCGATCAATGCGCTGAACGTCGCGGTGGATCGACGATCGAGTATCGACCGTGAGCTGCGCGACGCGAAAGTATCGCGATGCCGCCGCTAGGCGCGCGGCGATCGCGTCGGCGGTCCGCGGCGACCAATCAGAAACGTCCGCGCCTCGCGGGACGAGCTGGGTCATGTGACGTTGTTCCTCGCTCGCGTACTCAAGATGGCCGACTCGCTGACGAAGTACGGCGTTTACATCGATGACCTGAGCAAGATACGCGTCCTAGAGCCGGAGGCGGCGAATCAAACGAATAAACTGAAGGAGGAGTGTCAGAGTTTCGTGTCCAGTAAGTTGCGCTCGCAAGTGGCCGTTGCAGTGAGCAACGCGGGGCGAATTTACTTGACCCGGCCGCGTTCACGATACTCACCCGTGTTCGTTCGTTCTCTCACCCTCCGCACGACTCTCGTCACCGCGTGCTTGCCGTTTGCTTTAACGAGTTCCTGCACAAGAAAGCGCACATCTACACTCTCAAATGGCAGTTGAGGCGACTCGAATTTTCTTTAACTCAATCGGCGATTGATTTTATATTTCTAATATCGTTGAATTCGCAGTTCGTTGTCTACAAACTTATCTTTCTTTCGGAATGCTAATTGCAATTAATTGTAATTATTCTACTTAAAACATTATAAATATTATTTGGCTTAATCACCGAGTAAGTTTAATTAATTGAAACACTTAATTAATAGAATCAATTACAATTGCTACTATTATTATGCCATTATTGATTGAAATATTCATTCGCAAAAGAAATATAATTTAAAGAATGTATTTAGGATAATTTTGCGAGAAATTAAATATAAATAAAATTATGCGAAATTTTTATCTGATATTAAAGTAAAATATTCTATTTTGAAGCTTTGTCTAAAAAATTGTATCGATGCTTTTATCGGCATTTGCACTATTATTGCCACAAATTGCTAATTTTGCTTCAGAAGTATAAATGGTGACTATTGCGACGATTGAGAATTTTTACATTTCAGAGATTACCGAATTTGAAAAGAATTCTGATGAATTCATTAAGATATTGGACAATTTGGCGAAAGAAGTGGAGAAAGAGAAAATGAAAACAATCGGCGCGCGGAATCTGCTACGTTCTGTTGCGAAGCAAAGGGAAGCCCAGAAACAGCAGATGCAGGTTCTTAAATAATTACATGACTTACAATTAGCAGCGTGTATTAATCGTTTAATTGGTACAGACGGTCGCGAGAATTTATACTGTTCTAAAGTACTAAGCAACAATGTTGCATAACGAGACGTAAGAAAAAAGCGACATTGTCTGCAATTTTCCAACTGAAATAGGAAATTAATATAAATGAAATAGAAATTAATTTGTAGTCGGCAACGCTCTATTCATAATAGAGTAATAATTAAGATTCTTAAATATGATCTCATTACTGCCATCAAGAAGTCATTTTATTGATTTGCATGAGTTAATTTTATTATCCTCATTTAAGATCTTGAATATTGATTTTGATAATTTTGTAATTTTATCACCCACATCTAAAATCTTGAATATTAATTTCGATCAAACTTCAATTAACTTTGTTGGCGGTTAATTTATGGAGCAATTTATAATATAATACTTATTAACATGAATACAATTATTAATTTTTTATTGATTGACGCATAGAAAGGTAGATTAAACTTAAAAGGAGAATTCTACCGATTAAATTAATTGGATTGCATTCAAAGTTAAGCGGATCACTATTGCCGCTCTATGTCAATCGATCAAATCTCGTTGCAGGCATTGATCTTGGAAAAGTCCGTGGAATTGGAACGACTACGAGTTCAATGCGATTCTTTAAAGAAGGTCGAAATGGAACAGCTAGAAATTATCGAGCATTTGTCAGTGAATTAATGTATTGTTTTATAGTTTCCATTTCTTCATTGCCGACTCATCGAATGTTTTTCATCGCCCTTTCTACAATAAACGGTATAATAATTTTTCAAAATATCGATATTTGTTATGTGAATCAAAGAATTTTTCAAAGAATTTTAAAGACGACTTCGACCAAACTCCGATTAATTCAATCAGCAATTAATCCATCAAATTACATTTGTATATACGTTTTGTTAACATGGTTATAATTATTTTGCTGATTAACGGAAAGAAAGAATTATATCTGGGACGAATTACATAGTTAGAAATTGTATTTGTGATCAAGTCTGCTTGGATTAATTGGATTAAAATTATGCCGATTATCGGAAAAAAAGCTGAAATCACCGTGAGTCGCTCAAACGTTGCATTTGAATGTAGCCGCGTTAGCTGAACAAGAAGATTCCTATCCGCCAATCCGCGCGCCGGAAAAGCGTGACGTTTTAAAAGTCGCGAGTGTTGTTCTTCGATACAGCTTGACCCACGGTCAGTCGTCTACGCGCCGCGGCGATCGAAGGATTATCGCGTTCGACTCGTTCCGTAATTGTGATTTCATCCGAAAGAATTATCGTCGCTGAAAATCGTGAACGGCTTTCACGAAGCGTCGGGCATTCGTCGTGGGTTAAACATCGGGTCTCGTTAATTAATCGCCGTCGTCGCGATCTCGCGGTATCTCGCGATCCGCTTCTACCGCGTCCGACGCGTCGAAGGATCTTATAAGTGATCGAGGTACACCCTGTCGCGCATCGTATAATTCTACGACACGGATACATCGAGCGCGCGATCGTCAAGTGCGTAGGGTAACTGTATAATACTTTAACTTAATAAAAAAAAAAAACACTGTCTATTTACTTGTTAGTTTAGTTTTGTGACTTATTTAAATATAAAAGCGCATTAATAGGGACGTACAGGCACACTAAATAGGGACAGCTACCCTATACGCCTTTGTTCCTTTTCTATCGATTTTTGCCGAAAATCATGCTTTTCCGTAGCAATTCAAATCGAATTCAACTACGACGTAGGGTAGGAAGCGCGTAGGAGGTTCATTTCCTCGGCTATTTCAAAGCTTCGAGAATCGCAATTTTGCTGCTCGATATATCTCGAGTCGCTAAGGACTGTCATGGCGTCGCCATTCGTTCGAGGTACGCGGTCGGGCGTCGGTCGCTGTGCGTTGGGCTTTCGTGTGTGGAAAATCGTGTCTTTCAGAAGTGCGAGACGTCGTGATTTACGATATTAAACGTCGTGCGTAATCTTAATCATGTGTACCGCGAGCGTGGAATCGAGCTTTAGAGTTGGATTGTCTCAGGTTATGCGGGTCGGTTCTCCTAACCTAATCTAACGACTAATCTGTGTCTCTGTCGAATGATGTTTGTCAGCCGTGGTTCGTATAGCGTTGCGTCTCGATCCTCTCGATTTCGCGCCGTGATTGTCATTAATTGTTTAACGTTCATAGCACGTTCATGAACACGTTCAGTCGTGCGTGACCGGCGTTTTCATTTTCAATGACGTCACGTTGGTTACCGGTGACCGGCGTCACCAAACTCAAAAGATGCGTACAATTCGTAAAAAAAATTACGTAATTTGTAAATACAATGTAATAGAGATCTGATAAATTTTACTCTGATGTAAACATGCAAATCCAACGTTCAACGTGTTAATTCTCGTGAATTGTGCCTAACTTGCATTGTGTCTAACGATTCTAACATACATATACATCGCTTATTATCGCGTGATACGTCAGATGCGTGCAATATTTCAGATCGTTAGATCGACGTTAGACCGACGAGAATGGCGGTCACTATCGGTAAGCTTTGATTTTTCGCTCGCTTGCTCGTTGCAAAATAATCCTTTGAGCGACGCGCGTGGATAGAAGCAGAAATTTAATGTTAAACATTGTATTAAGATGACGTTGACGTGTGCGTTTTACATTGCAGAGTCTGTGATATATCTGTGTCTCGTGGCGATTCTCTGGGGTGTAACCAACCCGTTCATAAAGAAAGGTGCACAAGGCTTGGAGGACGTCAAGGCCACATCCTTTTATGGACAGTTTGTCAAGGAACTTGTGTTTCTCGTCACTAGCCTGAAGGTTTGTCACGCCGCTACATAAATTTTATTGATTTAATTTTATGTTGTAAGAGTAATAGCGTTAGTAATTTATTTTCTTTATGCAGTATCTCGTGCCGTTTCTCGTTAATCAATGTGGTTCGGTACTGTACTTCCTGATCCTGTCGAGCACCGATTTATCTCTGGCTGTTCCAGTTTCAAATTCTCTTACCTTCGTATTCACCGCGGTCACAGGCTGGTTCCTGGGCGAGAAAAAAGTGCACAGAAGTGAGTACATTATCTTCGTGAGATTATCTTTATCTCTTGTTGTGAAAATGTTGTGAATATTAATTGCTTCACGATCTGCTTTACTTTTCAGATGCGTATCTGGGAATGATACTTGTACTATGCGGAACGACACTGTGTTGTTGGGACAAGCTGAATAAAGCCGTGGAATTGTGATTTGCACACATTAACAGTCATTAAGCACGCATCGCTATCCTTCCTTTTCCTGTTCATCCATACTGCCTGCCGATTAATCCACACCCATCCTGTGTAATGTGAGTAGCACAATGATTAACACATTTACGAAATTCTAACAAAGTTTCATGATATCCAATTGACTTTACTCTTTCTAATAAAGAGTAAAGTCTACTATAAAACATCCAACATTAATATGTTTTATTATGAATGATATGATAATTTATATCATTGCGTTTATTAATCTTGTTACAAGATATAACTCGTTCTCGGGTTTCTGCGTTTAACGCAATCTTACAAAGAGGAGCAATGTCTGTGTTAATAGGTAATGAGTTTTATTCGTAATTCCGTACAATGTCGTCGATATATATTCATGATATTTACATGCATATCGTTTAATGATCCATATGTACACACACACACGTAGAATAGCACCGGGTAGGAAATGAAGTAGTAATTATGGTGCAGGGTGACTATGTCGCCATATTTAACTTGTTTCTTTGTCCACACGCAAAAGCGTATCACAGTATACAACAGATAATGTCTAGCGTCGCGCGTTTTATATTTCTTCTACACTGTTATCAAAAGTGACGAAGGTGTCTCTCGAACGTGGAAATTTCGCAACAGTGTATGTGTAATCTGTGATCCATGAATGTACAGAGACAAGAATTATATTTATATATATATATATTTAAATGAAAACACAAAAGGTCTCCTAGTAAAAATAGATTAAGAATTATGATTATCAACACAAGTGTTTATATATACAATAAGCATGCAAAGACGAGATTGATCTATGCATAGGGGAAACGTTCAGTAGATATCGCTATACGTAACTGCCCGTTTTACATGTCGAGATAAAATTTGGAAAATATTTTTTCTTGAATTTCTTCATCACACTAGCGTTTGTATAAAGAAAGTTTACATTGTTCGTTACGGAATATATATTATCGGGGGGGGGGGGGATTTTTGATTCATTAACGAGGAGTGTATACACTATAGGAATGTAGAAAAATGAAGATGGCACTTTGATTCACGGTAGAATAAAGTGACGCGTTAATTTTTCATGAGATGCACAACGCACATGGGATTTATTTACGTGAAAGTATGAAAAGTGTCGAATGAGATAAAAGCATATTTTGTCGAGTCCCGAAGGAGGAACAAAAAGTTAACACACAATGAAATGTTAATTCACGATATATTATAAACGCATTCTCGTCATTCGCAACAAATTTAATCCGTTAAATTTGGCAGAGAGAAAGCTATTAAAGTAATGCAACATATATTCGACATATTGAGAAGGTTCTTTTCATTTTAGAATAATCAGAATTCGTATTCGTATTTAATATTACACTTCTCAAGAGTTTACATTCGACCATAATCTTCCTTGTTTTGAAGAACGTTATTTATTTAATGCGCGAAGAGTATAACAATAGATAATTAATTTGACGAATAACTGAGGTTCGAAGCTTCTTCGCGTGCGCCTATGAATATTTGGATAATTGTTTTTATTCTGTTACGTATATATGTATCTATTGCGGGGATTAAAACTTTGTGTCTTAGGTAGCGCAGAAATTCCATGAAGTCGCGAAATCGATCAACGTGTTGACAGCAAGTTGATTTACACGTCGTTACCGCAATCGTATGCTACTCGGTTAGGAAAAAAAAAAAAAAAAATTAAAAACTCGCGCGGTCGCGATCGACATTCGCGCGACGTGCGTGTTAAAAGGTGTATATTATCGATAAGTCGCGTCGTTATTAATCAGCGCGCGTCGGATATCCGACACCTATTAATCGCCTACGAAATTACGAATTACACTTATGAAACTCGAGACTAGCATTGATCAATGGCCGCCCAATTCAGGCGCGGGACTTCTTGCTCTTCAGCTTGAACCATCCCGCGCTCTTGTTCGGGTCACGGGGCACGGACGTGGATCTGTTCAGCTCCACCTTGGAGCCTATGCCTCGCGATTTGGTGGCCAGCGATTCCGTGGAAACGGTTCTATCCACTTTCTGCTTGTCCTTCGATTTTAACGTGCTGCGATTGATCGTACCTGCAATGGGTGACGTGAATGTTTTCATTATAATTATTACATTAAAGACGTAAATTAGCACTCAAGGTTAACAAATTTTTTTATATTATAAATGAGACTGATATATATAAAATATGAACTAATAATTTAATTTTCTTAACCACTTGAGAAAATTTAAATTTTTCTTCGATTTGTCCTGAAGTTTAGAAGAATAAAATTATTTAAAATTAAATTCATAAAAAATATTCCGTTCTTATTAAGAGATATCTTATTATTCACTTGTTATTCACTTGCTACTAAAATTCTTCGCGAATTTTTATTAGTAAAAATGAAGTGGAAAGAAGGAAAGATACAGTATTACTTTAGTTAATTCTCTTTTAGAATATGAAATTTTATTCATTTTATTTAAAAATTAAGTTATCATGTCGGATTAAGTTAAATTACTTTGCTCGAAAGAATTTACTTGTCTTAGAAAGATTGTCCTTGCTTCGCCGAGCTTCCTTTCCTCGGCGGCTGAGGGTTTCGCGGCTTCGTTGCCTGCGTCTCATGGTCGCGATCGGTTTCGCGTGCTGTTGCTGATCGTAGTTGATCTCGAACGGTTCCCTATAATGTCGCGGCTTCCACGGAGCAAGGACGCTCACGCTCCTCGACACCGTTCTCGTGTGCGATTGCAACGGTCGATTTAACTCCTCGCGACTCGCCGCCCGGCGTCGTTCGTTCGGGCCTGGTATTTCGCCGACTGGAATGCAGATATTGAGTCGCAATTAGAATGCGGTGTGTTACGCTTGACGACATTTTCTTATACTTTCACTGCCGAACATTATTCATATAGATCGCTTGTTAAATAACTTCAAATACCTAACCAGTACGATATTATTCTTTTTACATATTTCCTATGACGCAAATGCGACAAGTATTGCAGAATTCCAAGCGTTCAGTGAATAATACGCTTCGTAGAGCATATCTATTATTGGCAGCATAACATTTCAACCAAACATTATATGCGAGATATTGAAAAAACGGTTTACGTGATTAAGAAAGTAGATTAAACAATATTTTCTTAGCAAAAAGTTGACGTAACGTGTCATATTTTTATTTTCTAATTTTTAATTTAGCAAATGCTATTTTATTTATTTTAATCTACGAAGCTTAATTCGCAAAAGGTATTTCGTTTATTTGAAACATTTGAATTATCAACAATATTTCGATATTTTTACTACGAAAATCGATTTAAATTATTAAATTTACAATCTTTATTTTTTTGAGTGATTTTTGAATTTTTGAAATAAAAATTAAATTATATAAGTGGAATGGAGAATAAATTATAATATTATAAATCTTAGAACAAAATATAAAATTACAACAATTATAAATGCTATATGAAAATATTGTATAATATTTTTATTGTACCTGTAGCAGCATGAAGATACACGACAGATCTTTGCGATCTCTGAGAGTTTTGACTTTGCTGGCTGCTATCGCCCGTTGTACTCTCGCCCGAAGACAATGCGCTTTCAGCGAGTCTCGAAGATTTTCTTGGGGCTGATATAATACCCAAATGGCGATTCGAATTCGTGACATCATGCCTCGAGCGGGCGTGGTCGTCAATTCGTTTATTTCTGGAATAATTAATTCAATTAATTGAATTTGTTCAATCTTTTTGTAATATGAATTGCATTTTCAGTTATTTAGTTAATCGATAATATTGTTATTAAAAAGAAGATAATGTCAAAAAATTTTTTTAATTTTAAGAAACAAAACTATTATTTAGAATGTTTAATATAATGCGGTATAATCGGACACTAAAAAAAAAAAATAATATTTGGTTAAAGATGAATAGCGGAGAAGTAGATAATTAAATATTTGTTCAGAATGATATTAATTAGAAGAAAACGTAATAGATGACGATAAGAAAGTTAATTAGTCGACAGTCGAGGTATTTAAATTACTCTTGCGCGAAATATTTAACCGGTCTGTGCATATACGCGGCTTATATTGTAGCATTTACCTGCGGTCTCTGTTGGACGAGACGGACTCCTGATCCGTATCGCCGAAGAAGCGGAGATTCTTTTGCACGGAAACTCGTTCAGGCGCAGAGGAAGCTTCCTCATCCTCGGTGCCGGTCGTCAAGATCTCGCTCTCGGGTATTCTCGGCTTTTTATCCACCGGCTGCAAAGTTATCGACGCTTCATTATTCATGATCTCGAGGGATGAAGGGGGAGGGGGACACACCAAATATAGCCGCGCACGGATTATTTCTGCGTATAACAATTACGCCCGCTTATTCCAAATATCGATTTATCGAACGTTATAATTTCGCGCACAGAAGACGGACTTTGCAAGTGCGATAGATTGAAACGTATCGCTCTAATGATATATTATTCTGTAGCACTATGTAATTTTCATAGCTAAGCACATACTTGGCTTCAGTTTCCCGACTTTTACGACGGGCGGTTTCGCCCGTCTCGATTAACTTTGACTATAGTTTAATTCTTCATGAGAATCTATATAAAAAAAATTCTGTTTTAGGCATTTTATTAAGTAAAAAAATATAAGAAAGAAAGCTTTCTCCGTATATTTAAGCTACATAGATTTTTTATCTTTTATTACCAAGATTTCTCACAACTTTATTGTGAGAAATAAGGTTCAGCAAATGCGAAAACTATTTTAATTGAATCTTAATAGATCCACAATGACAATCAGGATTTTTCGTCTGATGAAACACGCAATATAAATATATTCAATAAAAAGTTAAGTGGATATGAAAAAGTTTTTATCCAATAAAAACTTATTACGTGTCTTCTCGGAGACATTGTCCACTGAGTAGGGAATAATAAGATTAAGGATAAGGATTAAAAGGACGCGCTTCAAGCTACTAACGGGAATGCGAGAAAATAGAATACGACGCGAAACAGTAACGCAGACCGGAGTCTTCATTGTCAATTGTTCGAGACGAGCGCAAAGTCAGACATAACTGGCCTCCATCGAAGGTCGCGATTTTTCGGAATCCGGCCCCGTCTCTCCGGCCGGCCGGGAGAAAATCGCGCGAGCGTGTACAAAGCTGTATTCTTCCCGTCGGCTCGCAAAAATCGCGGCCTCCCCCCGTGGTTGCATCGCACGGCGCCTTCATGAGTCATGATTCTCCCCGGGCCGACTCATCCGATAGATCATCGTCCACGGCGAGATTCATACGCACGCAATCATCTCGAACGAGCGCGCGAGCGCGCGCGCCCGCTCGCTCGCGCGCGAGGAGAGCGGCGCGTCTCTCCTCTTCTCTTCTCTTCTTTCCGCTGCCCAAGATCGGAAGAGAATCGGGACCTGACAGAGATTATTCCCGTGCGCGCGCGAGCGCGAGTGCACGGGACGATGGTCGTCGGCTTATAGGGCTAGGCAAGCAAGCCTCCTGATCGGCACTTAATCTCGCGATTAAATTAAACCACAGAGCGCGGAGTTAGTTAAGCATTTAATCAAACCGGTAATTGGAGGTTGCGCTGCCCTAATGGCTCCGCGCAGCGACCCGCGATCTGACTGATGAATGCGCACGGGACTGGTGCGCGCGAGTTGCGCGCGAGATAACCACGGCACGATCCGTGGAGAGTGCGCTCGTTATCGCGGATAATGCCTTCGAAAAAGATTCTAGGCCTCTCGGAAGGATGTGATTTGTCGCGTTTTCCGATCGATTCCTAAATACGATGACGTTTCCTCGATGATTCCAAATACGATCCTCCTCGCCCACCTAGACTTGCCGGTTTCGGAGAAAGACACACGTTTGTCGGTCTCTGAGACTCTGATTACTTTATACGAACTCGAAAATGACGTCAACCGGTGGAAATGTTTCATATCCGTTTATATATATATACTATCATTAACGAGGTCACCGGGTTTTTAAATAAGGCATTCCGTGCGAAACAGTCGCAGCGAGGTTTAACTCCTTACATTAAAGTTTTCGTAATCATTTATCTATTTGTTGAATACTCATATCACAAATACCTATCGAACGCTTTCTTAATCGTGCAGTTGATTTAATTTCTTCTGGTTTTTCACTTGATAATTAAAGAATTCAGTACAACAATTGATACATATATCTTTTTTTAGACTTGAAAATAGAATCTAAATGCACTTTTCAGGATCGAATTTATGTTTTTCAGAAAACAGATCAGGAGGAAGAGGAGAGGAAATATATTGTATGGAAAATCCATTAGTTAACTAAGATTTTACATATGACAATAATAATCTTATAATTAGTACAGTTGATAAGTTCTTAAGAATAAGCAAAAATAGAAGAGTTGTAAGAGAAATAAAAAATTTAAACTGTTAGGAATAGGAAATGACGCTTACTGCAGCATTGGATTTGTTCTTCCTCGAGAGGGACTTGAACCAGCCCTTCCTCTCCGCCTCTTGGCCCTGGTTGTCCCTGGTCAGGGTGTTGCTGGACTCGCAGAAGGACTCTTCCTCTCTGGTGAGAGTGCCGGTAGATCTCGAGAGTCTGGTCGGTCTGGGAGGGCTCGGACTGCCACTAGGTGTCGATAAGCGTCTGCGTTGACTATAATCCTCCTATAAGTCAAAACAGAAAAATCGCATGTTACATTCAGCGACTCAGCGTCTTTCGAAGTACTATCTCTATATAACTACCACTTTCTCATTCGAGCATAATTCTCTTTCTGAGCATAATTTACTTCTCAAATCCCAGTGGGAGATCGTATTCAACCGTTATCCGATTAAAGAATTTGTAGCTCGGAGAAACAAAGTGGACAAGGAGAAATATTAGGTCCAATTGGCGTTCTTTCATGACGTTTCTTCGCGACAGTTCCATTTCGTCATTGTAATATTGGTTTTGAATATCTATAAATCGGAAGATTTACTTCCCGGAGGTTCCAGCGCAACGAAATCGTACAATCAAATCTCCATTTTGACGGGGCTAATAAAAGTGCGTGTTACCCGCTTTCGTTATTTATGTTAATCGCCGTTTCGCCAATTACACACGATTGACCGATCGTCGCGGCCTTCCATTTCGCTACTCTATTCACGGAACGTAGGCGCAAGGCCTCGACGGGCCCCGCCGGCCTAGAAAAACTCGCCCCCTCGAAGCTGGGAGGACGCGCGCGAAGATACACGCGGGCAGGCAAAGCACGCAGGCAGGCAGGCAGGCAGGCAGACGCGTGTCCGTTTCATTCCCGACGACGTCCACGTCGTCGTTATTATTATCATCGCGTTTTGCATCATCACCATCATCAGCGCTGCCACCTCCGTCATTTACTCTCGCTCTCGCGCATGCATAATGCGTGCCGGCGCGCTACGGCTCCAGGCGCTTATCACGACTCTCCCCTGTTTATTCATCGGTATTCCGGCAAAGACTACGCCGACGATCGTAATCGCAGCCGCCGTCGAGGCCGCCGAGGCCGTCGCCGGTACATGCCGCACGTAACGCGCTCGGAAACTGCACAGGAAGTATCGCCGCGTATCGACCTAATCGGAATGTTAATCTCTCGCAGATCAATTGATGCGATCGACGCGCGATTGCGCGCTAGTTCTCATTGTGAAATCAGGACATCGTCAAGGAAACATGAGCGTCTTGCGTGAATAAGCTTAGCGAACATTGAACACGTAATATATCATCTTTTCGAGTTTATCGGTTACTCATCAGATTATTGATTATCATGTGAATCGATTAAAAATATATTTTTATCTGACATTTTGTTTTTCTATCTGAAAGCTAGAAAATTGAACGTACAATTTTTTAGAAGGTAATAATACTAAATATCTTTTTATGTGTGTTAAGTTCTAAAGAGATTAAATAATATGTTAGGGAAGCTATTAAGATATATCTTTATTATATGCATATAGTTATAACGAGACCGTAGTTATTCTCTCGTAGTCTTTCACGTCATCCAAATAGCGAATCCGTTTAGATACTGCAATTTTTTGAATTGTATCAGACGCGCGAGTAAAGGAACATTGCGGCGATCGATGCAGATTTTACGAGTCTCTCTCTCTCTCTCTCTTTTTCTTTCTCGCGCGTGCAATATGCCGTGTACATACGACGGAGCTTTCAATACGCAATATAATAACATATCACGGCGCGGCCGTGTATATAGATGTGTGTACCCACCGCGTATAGACTCTTAAATGACTCACAATGAATAGCCCATATCGCGGAATCATCTGCATAGTACAAGCACGGTGCGCTTCCCTGGTACTCTCCATATATACGAGCAACAATATCCCGCGTGCTTTCCATAACGAGTCGCGACGCGCACCGACGACGACGAGGACCACGACGACGACGATGACGACGATGACGAGGACGAGGACGAAGACGAAGAAGAGGTCGAGTGATGCTGAAGACGAAGAAAAAGTTGAGGTCTCTGATACAGAAAGGGAGGGAGGTGGAGGAAGGGCCTAAGGGCATTGTGACCCACGCACCGCCCTGCTAACTCTTATACCGTCCGTGGCCTTCCTCCTCACCGCGTTCTTTTCCTTCCTCCTCATTCTCCTCCTTTTCCTCCTCAGATTCTCTCTTCTTCTTTGCCTTCTTCGTCCGCGGGGAATGCGTTATGCGCGGAGAGAGCTACTCCCTTGCCCTTCTGTGACTCGGCGTGGGCCGCCGAGATTGGGCTAGGTCGCTTACGTACCTAAGTGCGTACGCATGCACGCGTGCACGAATATGATACACGTGCGTGCATGCGAGTGCATGCGTGCGTACGTGTCATGTGGCCACGATGCGTGCGCTAACGCGCACGTGTATCCCCGGCGCATAACTCTGCAACATTAAACCGCTCGCCGTAGGTCACCGTAGATTACGCATAAATTCCGAGGGATGCGATTTACGACGTTAACTGGCATCCTGGTCTGCCTCCCCGCCGCCCTCCACCTTTCCAGATTTTCTTCCCGCCATCTGCGCGCGACCGGTCGCCGCCGTCGTTGCTGTCGCCGCCGGTAGGCAAAGAAAATCGGTCACGAGCGAATCGAGTTTCTTCCTCGTCTTCTCGCCCTTCTGCAGTGTTTGACGCGTACTTCTCACCGCGGTGGTGCAACGACTTTCCCACTCGATTGAACATTCATTTTCGAAGGGAAGTAGTCTCCATGTTTTTAGCCTTTCATTTGTAGTCTTCTATTTTTACATTTTTATCTCGCATCAATCAAAAGGTATCAATTATTAAGAATTTAAATGATGTATAAGTAATTAAGTGTTTAACATTCGGTTTCTAATACGATTTGAACAGAGATGTGTGTATTGATATATCCTTTTCAAGTTCATAATTTTATTTTTATATTTAGATAAAACACAAGAGCAATTACATTTACAGTCATCACATACATTAATAAATCAATCTTTTTAATATTATTGTTAATAATAATATAAAGAATTGATAAAGTATTAACGGTAAGTCGTCGATGCATGAACGACTATTTTATTTTTAGAGATATTTCAGCCACTATTATACAATATATGTAGAATAGACATGCATAATAAGTACTTGCTCCAGAAAAATATTAATCTTTAATTTGTCCGATAAAATATAAAATTCTCATTAATATTATGAGAAGCTTAATAACTGTTCAAGCTTAATAACTGAAGCCAAATGGACAGATATTTAAATTTGGGGATTATCTTCCCTGTATAATTAGTGTCATAACATTTTGTATTGATTCAGTTGTAAGGGAATAATAGGATAGAAACGAAATAATAAGCTACGTCAGTATATGATCGGAGATGCAAGAAGTATAATAAGTATATATATAGAAGCGAGGGAATCCTGGCGCTGTATAAAAGGGAAGCATTACTGTAAGATCTGTAACGCGCAAAGCCGCAAAATAAACGAACGTGTACGTAATTGACATTGAGACCCCTGTCGTATCGGGACCACGAGTAGTGGTTCGTCGATGCACGCGCGCGTGCAACTGATGCGTAATAGTGGCCAAACATACTGAGGAGAGAGGAGAGAGAGACCCGCGGCAGAGGAGTGAGCCAGGTTGGAAATAACCGCGGTGAGAAAAGCGAAAGGAACGAGAAAAGAGGGAGAGGACGGACCGCAAGAAACATCCACCTTGAATATCGCCGGCGGAGGACGGGATGTGGTTTGACCAGGAATGCGCATCTGGAGAAGATCGCGCTACCATGCGTTAAAAGGAATCCGTTATGATTTTTATGCCTGCCATCCCGTCCGCTCCAATTTCCCTCTGTACAAATACAATGGTTCGAGATGGGAAACATATCATATTCAAGATATCGATTTAGAAAGATCTCATGACATTTCTGAGGCCGTATTTCTAGAACGACTAATTAAAATTAGCTAATCGGACTCTAGTTGAAAGTTGAAGCAATTTTCATTATTTAATATGAATATTAATTCAATTTAGTCTAAATTGAATATACAGTATTAAACAATGAATGACAAATAACTGAGGTGGCGTTAAATAAAATTAATTGTTGGATGAATAATTTTATGATTTCAATATTGATCAAGTAATTTATAAATATTACGAGATTTTTCTCTCATACAAAAAACCACAGATTCTTTTATAATGTAGCATACTTTGTGTAGCCTGCAGGCTTCCGTCCCGAGGAATTTATTCCATCCTGTGCACAGATTATATAAGTTTTATTCACAAAACCTTCCTCCCCTTCTAAGAATCTGTTCTGTCGCATAACTTTCGCATAACAAGGTTTTATATTAAATTGCTGTATAATGTTTGATATAGTATAGAGAGATTTTATCAATTCATTAGTACAGAACGAAAAGTACGTGGAATGTAAGCGGAGAAATAAAAGCTTAATTGCGTATCTTGTCGCACTTTCCGCACTACCAAGTTAGGGAAATGAAATACGATTACGAATTCAAACCACATACTTCTCCTCACGTGCCGATGTCAACTCGCTTATTTGAGTGCGAACCGACATCGGAACGCCCTGCATAGATAGGTGATGTTTTCTCTTCGGGCGCGCGGCGTCGGCGTGGTGCCCGCGTGCATTGCTCTCGCGCAGCTCCTCAGCTTCGCCTTCGGGAATAATTATAATTGATGAAATGACACTGCGAGCCGGACAACGGGGATTTTATCGAGCGGTCGCGATCGCCTCGGGAGACGCGAGGGAACGCACGGCAGAAGAGACGCGTATATGCGTGTACGCGCGAGGCTCGCAGCGACTTCTAACGAGAACGACCGCCCCGGTAGGTGCCTCGGCGACGTCGATGAATATTAATTATTCCGATCGTGACGAGATGCCCCCGCACGCCCGCGCCGCGTTTCCCGCACAACTGGTCCGCTCTCTGCCGCTCGAACGATTACAACAGTCTATTTGCAAGTTTGCACGCGGTCTCTGCCTTCGTGTAAAGGCTTCTTTTCTTCAGTCCGCTCGTCTCTCAGATACATAATACACGCTTAGACTAATTATCTAATTTGACAAAATCATGGCTGCTGATATTAGTCGGATTGTTAATTAAAAAATATCTTTTATACAATAGCAGTAGCAATTTAACGTGATATTTTGAACGATAAGATTAAGACAGTGTCGCATCAATTTATGTTGTCTTGTTGTTTTCTGGCATGACGCT